GCCTCAGAGCTCATCTCAATCTCCCCTCTGGCAGGTTAAAGGCATTAGACTGTTAATTTACAAGTTCTGCTAAATGAAGGCTTTGCAGTTCCTGCTGCTTTATTTTCTTCACACATCTCCACCTGAGAAGTTACATCTAGGCTGTCCAAGCAAACCCGCAAGCCATTCTATGTTTTATGGTCAGGCTGATGAAAGAACACCACAGTTTCAGCATGACAGCAAGAAGGACAGGGTGCAAATATTAACTGAGCTCATGAACCTGCTGCTGCTTCATTCCCACTGGCAGCACACAGGAACCCACTTGCATCCCACCACTGTGTGGTGGGGCACCTGCTCCTACTTCTGCCTCACCTCAGGAAGTCCTGGGGTTTTGTGGGTTTATGGGTGAGATAAGACTAGAGAGCCAAAAAGCTCACGGGTTTGGTGTTGGTCTTGCCAAGATAAACGGCATTTGGATCCTCCTCACCTGAGCCCATTCTGCACCACCCGGTTCCTACAGGTTCTCCAGCACGAGCACGCGTGATTGCACTCAAAGATCAGCGGCGGCTCAGCCATGTTGAATTCCGGCAGGAGTCGGCCATCCTGAAGAGGAGAGGCATTCCAGACTGGGTTAGTTGTTCCCTCCTGTGAGCCCTCCAAAGCAGGGGCAAGCCAAGGGCAGAAATTCCCCGAGTGTTAAAGCAGGCCAGGGATCCCCAAGGTGGAGTAAGCCCCAACCTCCCCGAAACCAGTGTGACACCTCAGCTTCTGTGGTGGCTGTGCTCTACCCTGACAGTGGTATCACCAACATCTGGAGATCATCACCACTATCACCAACAGCTGACAAACAGCAAAGGACCATCTAGATTTTTATTGCCTGGCATCACGATATACACCACCAGAAAAAGTATCTTACAGTGCTGTGCAAAAACCCAAAGTGCATCACCATCATTCTTATCATTTGCAGTGCTGGAGGGAAGAAGCAGGTGCTTTGTCCGCCTCTGGAATAAAGCCTAAATTTCCAGAGTACAAGGCTAGTACACCCAAGTTCTTTGAACCACATTATCTTCCCAAGTAACACTCCCAAAAAGGCTACAATTCAATTATTAACCAACCCAAGATAGGATTAAGGAAGCAATAGATGCAGTTCATCATATTTAACAAATTTGGCTTTTAAGGCTTGAAAGACATAATCATCTATTAACATGCAAATAAAATGACTACAGAGCAAAGAAAGATGCCAGCAGTCCCCCTGAGAGAAACTTGCAGGGATTCACAGAAGTTCTGATCTTAGCAGAACCTGTCCAAATGTTAACCTCAAACCCTCCCTGGAGCATTGAAGCACACTTACCCAAACCAAACCAGGCTTCTGGCAATGCTGCAGTTAAAACACCTCTCCTTTGCCTTCATCCAGAAGGATCACAATGATAATAGATAAAAGCAGGCAAAAAACCTCTCTACTACCCTGCTCTTGTTTACATACGACAGCTTTGTCTGTGCTGCTCTGAACTGGAAGCCGATTTCACGCATGGATTATTCAATACTCTCTAGCACATGGGTGTAATTAATGGCTCAGTTGGCATGTGAGTAACACAAATAAATAACACTAGAAAAGCTTCCCTGCCTATGTGTTTTCTTGTTATCACACACACCTCAAAGCTGAGACTACAATTTTCGGCATTTTAAAACAGAGAGAGAGGAGTTGTGCAAGGAACTGGTTTAAAGGTAACTACTATAAGCCCCAAATTGTGCAGAGTTCAGCTCACAAACAGTGACCTGACCCACCAGTAGGTTGTGTGTCCTCACCTTGTCATACCAGCAGCGCATACTGAGTTGGCCACACATGCAGTTACTGGAGGAGCAGTCGTCTATACATACACAATACTGGAAGAGAAAACTGGAAGTTACCACACACACATAACTGAACGAGCAACTGGTGTGACTGGATCAGAGAGGAAACCACAAGTCTTCTTGCTGCAGCTCCTTAGCCAGAAAGATGAGTCTCAACAAGTCTCATCAATTCAGCAGTGGTTTTTTACTCCATTATCTATCTCTGTGTGCTCTCATACTGAGCCACCTTCCTTTCTCACGAATGGTTGTCCCCCTGTGTTACTAACCTTCCTCCACGCCTTATGAGCTGTTCTCCACACTTCAGTGGAGTCCTTGAGGACAAGGAGAGCTCCAAGGAGGGACCAGAGCTGGGAGATGTTGCAACATGAGGTCTCCTTCCTGCCTGCTGCTTGCTTCTTCCCAGTTGGTTGCTCCAACTGGCTCCAGCACTCCCCAAGCCAACACTGACCCCCCACCAGCTGCTGCCCAAGAGGGCTTGGGCATGGGAAGTTCACTTCAGCCATCTGAGCGCTGTGCCCAGAGAGGGGTCACCCTTACCCTTGCTTCCTCACCTCTGCTCTCACAACCCAGGACTTCCAGGACTTTCAGTATCACACTGAAGACCTCAGCCTGGATGCTGCAGTCAACAGATAGGCAGCATGAGGAAGGTCTCCCAACAACTCACTAACTTTCCAGATGTAGAACAGAGGAAAAGGATAAACGAGAGCCACATGAGCCAGCACCAGACGATGCTGCAGCACACAGCTGAACACAGAAGTTAGCTTAAATCGTGGAAAAGGAATAAAGCAGAATCCCATCTCCTAGAGTTGAGGACTCCAGTCGTAGCTGGAATTTGATGGCCATATTAGGAGCAGACATTCCCATTTGAATGCCAAACCTATTCTGAGGTGCTGTGCACCAGGACAAGGAAAACTCACATGGATTCACAAGGTCCCTCACCTGTAAATGGGTGATGTTTCTATCAATGTCCATCGGGGAGGTGACACAGTTCTGTGAAACGTATTTGTAGTTGCTAGGACAAGGCTCACTGTCCACGGAGTTGACACAGGGAATGGGGATCCGCTCATAACCCCGGGCGATGTCTCTGTCAGTGGGAGAAAGAGAACTGTCACAGAGGAAAAGCTCCCCTAAAAAAGGGCCCATTCAAATGCCATCCTGGGGCACAATTACTGTCTTTGATCACTGAGCACTCAAAGCCTGAAGCAATTCAGACTAGCAGAGTTCATTTTTTTCCACCCTGTCTTACATATTGTTCTTTGTGCTTGTGAGTATTTCCATTTGGAGAATGAATTTACCAACCAGGGTCTGAATCATCATGTGCTTAAGCTCAAATTGACCTTCACACCAGTTTCAAAGGCTAAGCATGCACTTGCAGTCTTTTCTTAAACCAGGCCCTCAACCTCCCCCATGCAAGGGCTCTATTTCATGACCCCCAAGCAAAGCCAGATGTATTCTCACCTGCTCACAACCTTCTCTATCTGGACAGGCTTCTCAGTAGATGATTCTTTGAGAGTCTTGTTCATCTGTAGGGCCACCCAGACCTGAGAGTTAAGGCTGGAGCACTGCAGTGGAGTCTCACCCTCCTTATTCTTTAAAGTGACATCCGAGCCACGAGAAAGAAAGAGACTGCAAAAGAGCAAGACAGTGTAAGCATCTCCTGAGAGAAACTGTGCAAGAGGAAAACAAGCTACCAGCCCTTAAGGGGCAAGGAAGAATCTGTAGTAGAGAATAATCACCTGAGCTTTCCTTATTAAGCATGGTTCCTTCTATGTGAAGACGCTGGCAGAAGCCACAGACTGGAGCTCTAGGCACTCCTGAGAGCTCCGGGCAAACCTTGCCTTGCTTCAGGCATGACAGGTACCCTGCTGGTACCAGCCTAACTTCACACAGGCTTGAAACTCTCTCTGGCAGGGAAAGATACGGGGTGGAAATGGAAAAGTCCCACAGGAAACTGGTATTGGACTTGGTCCTTGTTTATACTCACCAGTTTTTGGTGAGTACCCAGGATGACTTTATTCATAGCAGTGATGGAGCAAAGGGAAAACCCTCTTACCATATTATGCCATGTTAGTTACAGGGAGAAAAAAAGCAAGCTTTAATTAAGGATGCCTGAGGCCTTTCTGTTGGGAAGCCCAGGCTGAGCACAGCCCCTCAAGCCTCTGCCCAAGACTCCAGCACCACTCCTTGTTTCTTGCTCTACTTCCACCAGCTCTAGCAGCAGCTTGTATTTCAGACCTACTGCCCCTAGGAGCAGGGTAACGGAGAAACAAGCCCTCCATCCCAATCCTGGTTTGTGCTTAAACACCAACGGCATTTCAAAAGATCTCCTCAGCTTGCCAGCCAGTAACCAGGCAGAAAGGAGTGACCAGGGGAAGGGAGAGGAGCAGCAGGGCTGGAGCTGTACTTACACTACACACTCGTAGCGATTCTCTCTGGCTGCAATATGCAGGGGCGAGTCGCCGTGAATATTCACTGCATGTAGATCACACTTAGCAGCCAGCAGGATCTCTGCTATGTCAACACAGCCAGAAAAAGCAGCCCAGTGCAAACAGATATTTTCCTCCTGGGGGGAAAGAGAACAGAGCAGAGGCTGTTTAGTGCACTAAACCCCCATCGCTTTGGGATTCATCATCCTTAGCTCTACACCTGCAGCACGCGACATGTGGCTTGCAGTTTCCTTCCTTCTGTCTGGGACTACCAGGGTGGGCAGGGAAATCTCTACACAGACAAGCAGGGAGTTCTCACTCCAGCTGCCTCCATGTACCAGCGATGGGGAGGCTGCACACAAAGTGGTCCATAGCCTGCCTTTAGGCACACAGGCAAATCATCCGTCTCTAAGCTACAAACCAGTCTGGATCTATCCATGAGAGAGGTGGCAGACATGAACCAACATGCTGGAAAAGGCTAGAAGCTGAGCTTCCCCAGCCCAGCCAACAGGGAAGTCAGCATGCCTCCAGTGCTACCGAACTAAAGAAAGAGCACAGCACAACCTATAGGGACTATGAAGGCGCTAGAAAGAGAAGCACGAGCCACAGGGAGAGCGATCAATCCGACTTCAGGCAGGTCTTAAATACTGAATGTACTCATCTCTCACTAGCAGCACTGGAAATAGCTGAACACTCATCTTTTTGATGGAGGTATTTTAAGCAATGATACTCTGCTTTCAGTTCCAGTGCAATTTCAGCACACTTCGAACCCTTCCCCATGACAAGCTCTGAAGACATCGATTAAAACAGTGCAGTGATAGTAATGATCAACTCACTTTCTTCTATTTCTTTTTAAGCAAAAATAAAGCACATCTTGTAGTGATTGCAACTTAGATCCTTCCTTAAATGGGGAGGCTATTGACATGTACCAGGGAGTGGAGAGGCCTTTTTCTATACAGCTTCTGCCTCCCAGTATGGTAACATCCAGATAAAGAAAACCCTAATCACATTATGTACAGAAAAAATTCAAGATCGATTGCACACCATGTGCTGCTACACTTGGACTTACTACTCTGCCTTGCACCAGCTACTGCTTGCAGCAAGATCACAATCAAAAGCATTTCTCCTGGAGTTTGATGGTTCCCAGCACAATACCTGAAGGGGCTGACAAGAAATCTGGAGAGGGGCTTTTGACAAGGGATTGTAATGACAGCATAAGGGGGAAATCGTTGTGAGTTGATGGCGGGTGGATTTAGATTAATCTTAGGCAGAAGCTCTTCCCTGTGAGGGTGCTGAGGTGCTGGCACAGGGTGCCCAGAGAAGCTGTGGCTGCCCCATCCCTGGCAGTGTTCAAGGCCACGTTGGACACAGGGCCTTGGAGCAACCTGCTCTAGTGGAAGGTGTCCCTGCCCGTGGCAGGGGTTGGAACTGGAAGAGCTTTAAGGTCCCTTTTCAACACAAACCAGGCTGGGATTCTGTGATGATTCTATGATAGTGGCCGATTTCTGAAATGGAGTCCAAGAAGGACCTTACATTGTCACGGATGTTGATGTCTGACCCCTTTGCAAGCAGCAGCTTCACCAGCTCAATATGCTTGTACTCGGTGGCCCAGATCATTGGCGTCCAGCCTCCATCATCCTGAGGAAGGAAAGGGAAAGGATGAAGCATGCAGGTTGGGCAAGAGGTCTCCTGCCAGCTTCACAAACCCCTTGGCAGCCACAGCAGGGTGCACATTGCCTGGGATCCACAGACCCCTTTCCTCCCCACATCTGTCTCATCACTCTTCTTCAGTCTATGCTGCTGCAGGGAGAGATCCCCCAGAGTCCTGCAGAGACCAGCACCATTTGAACCAACATGTCTCAGCAGGCTGAAGTTTACTTGCAGCTCAGCACACTGGCAGTAGATCTCCAGGTCATTCAAACACTGTCCAAAAGGCACAAGGAACAACCATCTCGGGTAAGAGCTACTGCAAAGCTCCCTGAGAAGCCTGGGGGTGCTGGGGTTCCCCCAGAACCAGGAATCCTGATGCAGCGCTGCCTCATCCCATGGCAATGGATAAGCTCTGTGATTGCAAGGGCCAGGCTCAACCCATCCCACAGCATGTCCATGATCCCACTGTTCCCCTGCTAGGGAAGAGCACAGTGACTCCCTTGAGCAGCAGGCTCCACCAGCAAACTCAGGGTCAAGGAGAAACTGCAAATCAAGGCATGTGCAAGGAGTTTCCATGAGTCCAGTGGAGGGGATTCACCTTCTCTCACTGTCACCACAGAATGTTCTTCAGGCGCACCCCAGGACTGTCCTTGAGAAACACTGCTGAGACTTTTGTTCCTGACCTGAGAAAAGCAGCTCCTGCCCCTCACAGAAAGAACTCACCTGGCAGTTGACATCCATCTTCCCGTTGGAGAGGAGGTACTGAACAACATCATAGTGCCCCTTCTTGGCAGCCAAGTGCAGGCACGTGGAGCCCTCTGCATCCTGGACACAACCACAGAACAAGCACTCAGAAGACATCTCTTCCAAGCATTTCCCATGTCTCTACATCTCCAGTGATCCTCAGGAACACCAGAGAAGTTCACAGATGGAACAGAGGACTCCAAGAGCCCCCAGCTGCTGTGAAGGAGGCAAGAGAGCAGGAGCCAACGCCAGCACTGCGCAGAGGGAACCTTATGCAAAGCCCAGAGGTGCTACCCATGAAGAGAGTGCAAAGCCTATGAGAAAGATGTCTTTTTGAAGCCTAGGGAAGGTACCAGCCCCAACCCTGGCAGACTGATGCTCCCCTTCCTCAGCAAACCCTCTCCAACTCTTCTCCATGTGCTGGAGAGCCAAGGGGAGGCAGAAACCCCTTCCAGAGGCAGTGTTTTCACTTTACATCAGAAAATGAGCCTTGTCTCAACCGGAAATCCATTCATAGAGGTTTTTTGCTGGATTTTATTAGCACAAGGCCTTGTCCCAGCACCCAGCAGCAGGGCAAAGGGGTGTCCTGCACAGGGGCTGAGAAGCTCCTGAGAGACCAAGTCCCCAGCGTGCCCACAGCTGTCTGCTAAGATAGGAGATAAAAAACAGCCACAGGTTGAAAGGAAAAATGCCTTTGGGAGCTGAGAATACAAGGTCTGGAGGAGATGGACAGGCTGTGAGTCACGACAGACACGCTCCCACACTAACACCAAAGATACCCGTGGCTGGAGTCTGATTTTGATCAGGCCTTTATATCCCAAGAGCTTAGCACAGAGCAAGGCCCAGAGACCAGGAAATGAGGACGAGGAAATGAAAGACTGAAAAGCAGAATGGCTCCTTTCAGCTCAGCCCCTGGAAGAAACATGGGAGGTGAGAGCTTTCAGATGGAGCTGATCGGGCAGTGTGGCACAGGGCTAGGGAGCAACCCCTCGCGCAAGGACAGGACATCTCAGGTCAGGAATTACACTGTGTGGGCTTCTTGGGGTGAAGAAGGGGTTCCTACACCCCCACAAGTGCCACACCTGAGTAATACCACAGCTACCCCCTTAGATTAGCATGAGCCAGGTGCAGCTTCTCAACCCTATGTAGAGCAGACATGTGTTAATATGATTTTTACCTGTCTCATTTAGATTAGCTCTTAGGCAGAAGCTCTTCCCTGTGAGGGTGCTGAGGTGCTGGCACAGGGTGCCCAGAGAAGCTGTGGCTGCCCCATCCCTGGCAGTGTTCTAGGCCACGTTGGACACAAGGGGCTTTGGGGAACCTGCTCTAGTGGAAGGTGTCCCTGCCCGTGGCAGGGGTTGGAGCTGGAGGAGCTTTAAGGTCCCTTTTCAACACAAACCAGGCTGGGATTCCATGAATCAAGCACCAAGTTTGTGCAGGTTTGTGTGGGGCTTTTGCACCCCATCAACACCTTCACCTGGGGTCTGAGAAGCACCCCTCAGCTCCCTGTACTGGATGCACACTGCAGCAGCTCATTTTAAGCAGCTCATTCTCATTGCAATGGCTGGAGCTCATTTTAAGCTGCAGTGTTGCTGCTTTCAAACAGATGACTAATTTGGTGTGAGAAACTAATTAACATAATAAACTAGTCTAGACTTCAGACGTGATCTCAGGCTTCTCATTTGCTGTTGCAAGCTCAGGACTCCTTCCTCTCCTTTGCCTTCAGAATTAAAAACCCCCCTCTTCACTTCCGCAAGAATAAACCAGGCAAGAGATATCTGGATTGCTCCAAGACACTTGGGACAGTGGTTAGCATGACCGCACACATACCTGTCCTATCTTTTCCCCCTTCTCAATGCAGAACCAGGTTCTCAAGGATCTGTTTAAAGCTTGGGGTGGGCAGCACCTTGTGCAATCCTCCTTGTCCTACCAGCTCCCTCATGAAAAGAGCATCCGCACCCTGCTGTACCACCCCAGCAATAGCAGAGGATCGTGCCAACAGCAGCAGGTTGCAACAATAAGAAGTTCACATGGGGAGGGTTCCTGAGCTCCAAATAGCATCTGATGTAGGGGACTAATACATGATCTGTATATTTTCCAAGACTGCAATTTAACCAGAGCATGCTACAGGCAAACAGACAGCTGTGTTTTATCGTACTGGTTTTAATTAAAGGGTAGAGTTTGAAGATGGGGTACAATTTTGTCACTGCAGTGTGACTGCAAGAAACCACACAGCAGTCCTTCCACACGGCAAAGCTTCCTCTGTCATTTCTGCTGGCTTGGCAAGCACCTAATTACCAGCCCATTTTAAAATGTCACCCCAAAAGTCTCATTATTGGAGTCTATAGAGAAGAAAACTCTGAAATCAAACTCCAAAGTCACTGCCATGGATTTTAGTGGTCCCATATGAACTCAAATACTTTTTATATAGCAAGTGGCAGCACTTGCCCCAGACTGCTCACAGCCAGGACTGCACCATCCCAGTGATACCACCAACACCCGTAGCCTTGCCAAGCCTTCATGCCCAAGGCAAGCAAGTCCATCTCCCCTCCGCCTGTGCACTTCCACTCAAGACCTACCAAGAAAGAAATGATGGACAGAGGCTTCTTCAGAAGAAAAAGATAAGGAATCAACAGCTACCTTAGGATCTACAAGTGCTCCAGCCTTGATAAGGTATTTCACAGTTTCCAGATGGTTGTTTTCTGCTGCTTCCATCAGTGGGGTCCTCTGGTCTTCAGAGCAGGAGTCAATATTAGCACCAGCCTGTGAAGAGGTCAAGGCAAATACAAGGACAGTTACAATCACTACTGGTTAGCAGAGGAAGGATGTGGGAGTAGTGATTTAGTAGCAAGATTTTTGTTGAAATTTAGCCATATTGAGCTGGGGAGATGAAAAGAAAATAGAAAAAAACCTGAGAGAGAAGACAGTGCAATTTGACCTGGTTTGGGAAGTAGCACACACTACCTGCCCTCCCTCCTGCCTTCTATAGCCAGTAACCAGGGTGTAAGGAAGCCAACAACTGGTATTAAATAGCTCTTGTTATTAATGGATTTTGTACTGCTACTTTCTAGATATCATCTGGGAAAAATGAGCCGCCCCCTTTCTCCAGTAGCTTTGATTTCCCTGGTCTGTAATTTCTACGGACACAATGAACAAAGCAGCCAGATCTTCCCAGTATCACAAGCAGTGGGAACAACTTGCTGATTGCAACAGAAGTAGAAGCTTTAAAAAAACTCCTGGAGATTGTCTAACTCTTCCTGTGGAAGTCAATGGTAATGTTTCTACAGAGGTCTCTGAGCATAGTTCAGTTCAGTTCTCAGTTGAGCATGGAGTGCCTTGAACCAAAACCTTATTCTTTTCCCAAACACTCCTGTGTTGTGTGTCTTGCCTGCTTTAACTCTTCAGCTTAGCTCAGGAACCTACCCAACACCTAAAACCAGAAGATCTCTGAGACAGCCCAACTCCTGGCAGGTCACACGTGCAGGTACACGTGTGAAGCACAGATATGCTTACAGCAGCGACACAATGACTCAGGTTCACCCCTTCCTGGTGTCTCTCACTGAATGAGTTTGTTTTGATCACTTCAAAATAGCAAGAGCTACTTAAACCAGACCTGAGAAGAAGCATTTCAAGTTTAACAAGCTGGGGACATGCCCAGCCAAATCCTGTTCATGTAGCCAGACATGAGGGAAGAGACAAGATGATGAAGGATTTTGGAACCAAACCAACTCTACTGATACTTAATTCAAGTTGTTTGTAGTATCTCAAACATTTTGCTCCTTTTATTCATAAAAGTCACTCTGTTGTCTTCACGTGCAGTAACTTGAGTGAGAGCAGCAGGGTAGGCCCATAGCTGCATCTTCAAACAGCACTTTGTAAGTCTCTGACTCCAGGTGCTGAAATGTGACATCCCAGCAGGCTTGTTCTCAAAGCCATGTCATTGCTGCCTTCTCAAGACCCTTTAAGGTTTCCCAGTCACACAGGGTAAACAGAGTATCCTTCCAGTCACTCCAGGTGACAAATGGCAGTACAAAAAGGAAAAACTCTAACTTTTTAAACCCTTCTTTTTCCTTCACATCATTTTGGAGTGGATTCAACAAAAGCGGCCCTGTGTCTTTGACCCTCTTCCCTCCATTATAGTCCAAATTTCAAACAAGCCAAACTTGCATTTGCCCTTCTCTTCTTTCCACATGCAGGACCTTTACCCTGTAGAGGAAAATCCTGCTGGATTTACTCATGTTTTGACAGCAGGGAAGACAGGGGCTGGCTGCCAGGCTCCAGAGCCTACCTGCCTTTGTCACAAGGAGCCTCTTGGGACCAGCCTGCAGATGCCCTGCAGCCTGCCTGTGGTCCGCCTGTGCAGGCACATCTGGCAGCACACCACTGCTGGCTGTGATGGACACATAGGCTCCTACGTGCTCCACGGTGCCCTACATTGAGCTTCATATGCTTTTGTCATGTGGGGCAGGAGACCAGAAAGCACAGAAAATAGCTTGTACAGCAGAACATAAGTGGAGACAGACCTGAATCAGCATATGGCAGATGTCCACATGGCCAGACTCGGCGGCAGCATGGAGAGGGGTTCTCTTATTCTGATGCTCCATTTTAAAGTTAGGGTCAATGCCGTCCACTGGAAAATAAAGCAGGGTTGTTTTCAACCTCCATTCAGAGATGAGAGAAAAGGGTAACAGGAGAACCAGGTCTCAACTAAAGCCTTTTAAAGCATGGATTCCCAGCCCATCCTCAGCCCTACTCATGTCTCACTACCCATTCACGCCAGAAAGTCCTCATAGCAGCCCATGGACATTCAATATGCAACAGCCCTCAAAACAAGAGCTTCAGAAATTTAAGACCTTTAAGGCATCACAATTTCTATATAGGCCATTCTCTTTCTACACAGGGCATCTCCCCATCCCTGGTAGTGTTCAAGGCAAGGTGGGACTGGGCTTGGAGCAACCTGCTCTAGTGGAAGGTGTCCCTGCTTGTGGCAGGGGGTTGAAACTGGAACTGGACTTAAGGTCCCTTCCAACTCAAGCCAGTCTGGGATTCTATGATTCAGATTCACAACTCACCATTTCACTATGCAACAAAACCAACAAACACTATACGAAGACAAAAAGGAAAACAAAAACCTGCTTTGTTTAAAGTAACAGAAGTTGGAAACAACAACAAGTCAGAACTACCTGGCCTTTATGTCTAACCACTAGTAACTGCGATCCTCGCTGCATCCCTGCAAACACAGGGCTACAGAGTGGATGGAGCTTCTCCAACTACCAGAGGCCAGGGATGTGACCAGAGACTCTCACAGCTGTGCAAAGACTGACAGATGATGATGACAGCCAGACAAAGATGTCTGGGCATGATAACATGTTGCATATGATGAGGCCATAGTTAAATATCAATGAGTAACACTTTTGTGCTGTTGAAGACACGAACAATGAAGCTAACACTTGCTAGATGAAAAAAAAAGGAAGAATCTGATAAATGAAAAGAACAGAAAGCATCCCAAAATGTACTGCGAAGTACTGGAGTGGAAAGGAAATGATCCCAAGGAAACACTGTGTCCTTCAAAAGGGATATTCCTCAGGAATATTTGTTGGTAAAAACAAGCTCAGCAGCCAAAAGTAACCTGGCGACAGACAACTATGTACCCCCCAAACAAACCCTTTGTACTGAAGGGCTCTTCCTTTCTGCTCTCTTGCTGATGGGCCTCAGCTTAAGCTGACTCCCATCTTTTTACCTCCCCACTGGATGCAAGTACCTAGCCACCCCATTGCATGAAGAGGAACAGTTCTATCAAGACTGGAAACATTACATGTACGTGATTTGGGGACAGAAAGAGCTTCTCTGGATAAAACTGTGCCCAAATGCAGAATTAGCTGGGAGCAGGTCCACATTTCACAGAAAGATGAAGCCACTTCCAATGACACATCACTTGTAGAAGTGGCTTTCTCCTCCAGCTCCACTCACAAGGGGCAGTGGGGAAGATGACGTGCTGCCATGCTGGGAAGTGGACTCTGGCAGCTGCCTGGCAAGAGCTGGGAGTACTGCCAGACACACAATGTCCTGGGAAGGAGCCACCTACCCAACATAAGCAGGACTTTTTGCAGCTCTCCTTGCCTCGCAGAGAAGTACAACTGCTTTGGATGGAACCGTAACTTCTTGGGTCTGCAGGAGTGAGGAAAAGAGGCACAATTACTACCCACCGAAGAACACTCTTGGCATTCACCCCCCCCCACTGCTACCCCATGTGCATGACAAAGTCTGTTCCCATGGTGAAGCTCCAGAGCATGAGCAAAACACAGAACAAGCCTCCAGAAGGAGATCTTAAAACCCAGTTCCAACCACAGCCAGCCTTCTTCTTATGAGAACTGTTATCTATTCAGTGCTGCCCATCAACAAATTCTGGGTATTACAACTGTAAATGGGAATTCCTAATAGTTGCAGCTATGGTTGCAGGGCCAGTGAAAAACTAAATCATCCAGACAAACCACTGAGAGCTGTAACTGTTCTGAATCAGTTGTCTTCGGGGGGTGACAAATGACTGAAGCGAACAAGAAAAGGTTTGAGTAGGACCAACATCCACAGAAGCTAAATCTCAGTCTTCTCTAGGTTAAGCAACTTTGCTGGGAATTGGAGAGACACAACGGTTTGTTTCTTACTTTTCCGAGTCCAGGGCAATCAGGGCACTTTCCAGAGTTTCTTTAACTGGTCCCTGGGTCAGGCTGGTAGTAGGCTTTGGGAAAACTGAAGACCCAGCTATGTCAAACCCTTCAGCAGCTGAACTTTCTGGCTTGTCTTCCTCTGACAACCGCGTCCCAGTGCCACTGAAGAGAAAATGAGAAACAGTCAAAGCACAAGCATTAAAAATACACAACAGTGTGGATCTCATGCCAAAGAAAGGAAGGAAATGGATTTTAAATACAGATAAGTGCAAGCGAAATCCAAACACAAATGTATCAAAACAATGTATTTTACACCCTTTTCGGTAAGAAGTTGCCCCAAGAAATTGCACAGCCCTATGAGTACATTTTGACGTATTCTGTGCTACAGGAAATCAAGGAATGTGGGGAAACAAGGAATGTAAAAGCCACCAAATAAGATCAGGTTGGATGGAAGTCAAAGCATTGTTCAATGAAGGGATGACTGGTTTTTTCCTCTGCATTTTCATCCTCTCTTTATACTTGTGCCCATTGGTGCAGGGCAGGAGCTACAGCTAGGAGTTGCCTGAATTTCCCTGTCACTTAGCAGACCTGGCAACATCAACTCATTCCACTCTAATTCCATTTCTAACAATAAGAGAAAGGAATGGTTTTAACTCCTGAACCCCTCCTATCTTCCAAGTTCACGCTGCGGCCGCTGCACTCTTCTCCAACACAGCAAGCAACACAAAACACACACAGATTCCTGCAGCTGAGTTTGGCTTGTCAGAGAAGGAGCAGAAAGTACTTTGCTCCATCAGGAGCATTCAAATGCAAAGCATGGTCTGGCACGAGATTTGAGATCACTGTGTGTTCCCAAGCTCACCTCCCTGTCGTGGTGTCAGCCCTTCCCTCCACAGCTGCTGGTTTCTGCTGCTCGTAGGTCAGGGACACCGTCGAGGTTGTGTCTGCTTTTGCTATTGTCACCTCCTTTGCCTTGGAGGCCTCTTCCCCGCAGTGTGGGCAGTAGCTCATGTCGTTGACCTGGGAGGCACAGTTCTTATGGAAACGGTGGGAGATGCTGCTCTCCGGCTGACACTCCATGAAAGTGCCCTAAAAGAACCACAGAGAAGAAATTCACACCTTGGTCACTTCGTGCCTTACCCCTTCCGCATGCTTCATCCACAGATCTCTTAAATACTTCATTCATCACCACTCTTGTCCCTGGCGCTTCCAGTACAGTAAACAAGCACTGCCACTTCTTTAGAAGAGAACAAAACCAAGTTAATGGGGAAAAAACTTGGTTAGGGACTGCAAAGCAAGTTCTTTAACTGCTTGGGAAACAGAAGCAAGAAGTTCCGATTTCCAGCTCTTTCATCTAATGCTTAAGTTCTCGCTTATGTTCCCAGAAGTGCCAGTGTACTGTAAGGATGCCCCAAAACCAGAAGAGAAAACTTCAGACCTGTATGCTGACCTGTGTGTCTGACCAAGCAAGCTGTGCACCAACCACTCCAGGATCTACATGAGTACAATTAAACCAGCTCTTAACCCCAGTGTAACCTCAAGTATGGGACTTCCTTGCCTACAGCCTGTCTGCTGTTTAACCCCAATAATGTGGCTGACTGCTCCTTCAACAGACTTGCCCTAAAATTGCTTTCCCTTTCCAGCAAAGTCTTTCAAACTGAACTGAAGAACTCAGAGCCCTGTGGTATCAGTGCTACCTGAAGCTCTACTGAAGCTCTGTGCTCGTAGTGATGGACAGCAGACAAACCCTCTCAGGTTTACCTGTGAATTATGGGAACTACATGAACCATGACTTGTCACTGAGAGATGTACAAGTGTGTAAGAAAAGACCAGTTAAATCTCACTCTTCTCCTGAATTCATGGCCCTCCCAAGCAATCTAATTAACTCTGTATCAACTCTGCAAAATGCCTTGAAGGGCTTTCTGGATGTTAGCCTTTAAATGATCTTCAACTCATCATGAAGCCCCAGCATGGCTCCATTTATACAGTAATGTCTGAGCCTACTGTAGCATCTTCCATTGAGCCATCTTCAAGAACACTGACATCAGACAATTAATCCTCCTCACACCCGTGAGACCTTCAACTAGTGTTTTTCAGCTTTACCAACAGGGAAACTAGGATGCTGACAACTTAAAGGACTGGACCATTAAAAGCCTGGCAGAGGTGGAAGAAGCAGCAGATCTCAAACACTGCCTTGTTCCAGTGCCGTCACTCAGGTTCCCCATCTAAACCATCATAGGCAGGTGGGAGGACACTGATGTGTGCACACAGGTTCATTTACAAACCAAGCTAACACAATTTCTGATGCAACTGATCTGTACACAGGAAAAAAAAACCCAAACAATCCTTGTTCCAAAGAAATTCCTAAGGCAAAACTTCCACTGTGTGAATTCCCAGGGAAAACCCTTCAGTAACATTCCTTGGGGTCTCCAGGAAGATAAAGGAAAACACCACCTGACGTGCTGTGGAACAAGGTGAAGCTGATGCCAGGAAGTCAGTAAACCCCTTTAGGTACCACTTCCACCTTCAGCTCTTCCAGCTACTGCGACAGGTACCCCCTTCCCTAGATTGAGAGCACGGACTTACTGCAGTGCAAAAGTATCCACAGCCAGGGCAACACTGGTGTTTCACCATCCTCCCTCTATGGTCCTCACACAGCACCAAAAGCTGGACTTTGTTAGACGGGCGCATCAGTTCATACTTAACCACACTGTTTGTGCATCGGCCCAGCTGGAACAGGAGAAATTAAAGGAAATGAAATTACTGGAGACCAAAACACCCGCTGTGCTTGTGCGGAGGACGATCTCGCACACTGCCTTGGTGAGCCCTGGCTTTTCCACAGTAATTCAGACGTGTGCCAGATAGCATTAGCAGTGCAGCAGGAAGCTGGGAAAGCTGCTCTCACAGGAAGAAATGCATCATTTACTAACTAACATGCATATGGACCCTGAGTTGTTTGTTCCTTGCAAGAAAAAAGGATCTTTAACTGGAAATAGGCAGCAGCCAAGCAGCAGCAGAAGGGGCAGTCCCAGGGGCCTGACTCACCCAGCACAGCTCTCAGCTCGCCAGGAAGAGCTGGGTGTTGGTGACCATGAGAACAAGACCATATGCACTAAATCTTGTTACTGCTCAAAAGTTAAGTCACAGGAAGATAAAGGGAAAAGTAATTGCTCTTCATTGCCAGCGGAGTTATCGTCTGTGCTCGTTCCAGCACTGGCCCCTGCCCAGACCACAGGGGTGAACAGTGAGAGCTCTGGGTGTCTTCTGAAGGGTTTCACCAGTGTACAGCTCTGTGCTTAAAAAGTTGCCTTCTGTTCACTACCTCGTTCTGTTAAAGACAGTGGGCTCCATAATTGGGGTTCACTCTTCCCAACCAGTGTTACTGAGAAGCATCAGCTCTTCCTCCCGCTGCTCCCAGTCACACAACCACAATGTTTTCACATCCCAGTTGCCATCTGCATGACACGATGCTGTTTTGGTTCTGCAAGTTTCCCCTGATAAGTCCTGGCTGACTTCCCCAGGTGCTTGGCAAAGGACAGTTATAGAAACACAAACAAGAAAGGCTGCTACAAGGAAATGTCCCTACTGAAACGAGTGCACCATTTACTGCGCGCTGCCACTGTGAGCAGAGGAGCCTGTGGGGAACATGGTGCCTGCTCATCGTCAACAGCCTGTCCCCTCTGTCTGAGCTGAGGTTTCATCTGCTTTTTCTCAGCAAAACTAGACTTTCTCTCTGTTTTTTTGTCTTAAACTCCACTTCTCCTGCAGAATCAACAGTCCTAACAAAAGAGAGGATGGATTTTAACCTCAGCTCACCCTTCACTCCTCACATCTCTGATCGAACTTACCCAAATTCCAAATGCAAAGTCTACCTGTGGTTTGGACACCTTGGCTATACTTATCACTGAGACACCCAGAGCACAGGGGCTGCAGGGGTGGCCAGAGAAGACCATGCTTTGTTTTCTACTTAGGAGCTGAGGAAATGTGATTAACACGTGCAAAGCTGCATGTCCCAGTGAGGAAGTCCCTGCATCATCACGTCATACTGTATTACTTGTTAGAAACACTAACAAAGTACAAAATGATTAACTGCCATTTTCCAACCATCAGAAAGTACAGCAGGGTGCTCAGCACTATTTCTAACATTCTCCAAGGACATGACAGTCTGGAGAACCCACTATTCACACGGATAATGTAACATCTATGAGTCACTTACCCACTATGAAAAAGAATCTAACATAAAGCATGGCATTTGCTATTCCTCTCTCATTTAACCAGGGACAGACCTATATAGACAAGAATAAACTCTTTCATATACTCTTATTTTTACATTTAGAAGCCCTGGGGTCACCCTCCCCCGAGTGTCCAGAGCATTCTCTCTTTAATGAATCTATTTTGCCATGCTTTGGAAATTCCTTTCTCTATAGATACCACCACGTACTAACAGAAGCAGAACTGGGCTGCCAATCCGATTATTCCTTTCTCCATCCATCCACCCTTCTCCTGGGATCCTACAGGAGAACCAGGGATATTCTCACTCCTTGTTCTACTACCAGCAAGTACCACAGCACTGCAGTGTGACTGCAGCTCAGCTGAAGCTTAAAAGAAACCCAAGTGTCGCCCAGTAATAGGAGGATCTACCAAGCCTGTTCCTGTCCTGCAGCCTCACTTTCCAGACTCTGGGAAGGAGTCACTTCTGCCACTTACTTCCACATTTCTGGAACCAGTAGGCATCAAGTGGTATCTGGACTGAAAGGCATCGAGTGTGGTCATTTCAGCCAGACAGACCTGAAGGCTGTGCAGGGCTGCCAAGACATAGGAAGCTTTGTAACAGAAGCCTCTTGGGGGAGGAGGAGGAGAAGAGAGGAAGGCTGGGGCAGACCGAGCTGGTGGGGAGCATGCCAAGTTCCCAAAACTCAAGAGCTGAAGATTTGCATCAGCTCCTTGGTAGTCAAGGGAAACCAGCTCCAAGCTTCCTCTCACTGGGTTTTCTCACTGTGATCAGGCTGATGTATTTTAGCCCACTTGGCCTGAAGTGTGGCTGTTCCATCAACCTGATCCAGCTGCCCAGGACCAGGACAAGCAGGAGGGATCCACTTAGAGCCTCTCCCACAGCAGATCACACCATCTCCTCCCTTTGAGGCCTTCAGCCCAGCTGTGCAACACATGCAAAGTGCTGGAGCCCTCAGCTTAGCGAGCGGGGTGGCCCTGATGTCACCACACACCAGTGGCTTCCCAGTCTAGCAGGCTGCAGAGACCCTGTGTGACCCAACACAATGTTCCTGGCACAGCTTTTTATTCTTTATGTCTTTGTCCTGAGCATCAAAGTCTGTGAGAAGCTAAAAGACAGACTCCTACCTCATTGTCCACGCTCTCCGTGGCCATGCACTGGTTGTTGGCTAGCGTGGTGATCTCTCTGCTTTTGGGGGTTTCCATTCGACAGCTACAGAGGGGGACTTCCTGGAGCCCATCTACTTCCATTGCTTCAGGACCATTGGAAAGACCTGGAGTACAGAAGACCAGTAAATCAACTCTGAGATTCACTTCTAGGAGAAAGGATACAGTTCACCAACACCACCCGTGTCCTCTGGCACTTTCCCATTCCACATCCTGAAACACTCTCAAGGCATTATCCAAATCCCGTAAAACAGACCCATTCTTACACCAGCTGGAGTTGGCAAAAGCATCCTGTTCTTTCCTACAGATGACTGTGCTGAAATCATTAGTAAGTTACAAACAGTTTACTTGGAGAAAGGAAAAGCAATGATGAGGTGCAGATTCTTATCACTCTGTCTCTCTTCCCCACCTGCCCCACAACACTGTGCTCTGGCACTGGAAAATATGGAGGAAACGAGCCAGAGATGGAAATCTGAATAGTTAGTGGAGTGATAAATAGAGAAGATCAGGAAAGCACAAACTTCTATTTGTAGAGGCTTATTAGACAGATGGGACGATTTGGTCTCAGCCAACCAAAACTGGTTTCTTTTGGAAAGGGAAGCAGCAAGATGCTCTGATGTTCTTGCCTTCTCCTCATCTCTAGCTCTCAGATTTTGGACATTTTTAAAGCTATTTAAAGGTGGGCAATGGCTTTTGAGCAGGCTCACCACCAGATGTGGGGCATGCTGTGAATGTACTTGTAGCTCCTCTGGCTTCAATTCAATCTCTAGCCTCCCAACAAAAGGGTTGCTCCTAGTCCTACACTCCTATTCTGATCCTACACAGTCAGAACATCTCTTTGCAGTATTTTCTCTACAAAAGCAAACCCTCACACATTTATTTGCCTCTGGATTGGGTCACCCTGACGCGTACCCAAGCTTTCCCTATCCCAGCCTATGATGGGATCAAGTCCCAGGGAGAAGGAAGTTGCTATTTCTTAAGCTTTTGAAAGGATTTATTTTGCTGCAAAGTGTCAAAGATTAACTTAATTCTGGGGGAGATTCCTCTTTGGATGCCCTGGCAATGGCAGCATTCCCCCCACAGCATCCCCCCCAGCCAAGCACAAGCCCCTTTCATCCCATAAGGAGTTTCCTTTAGCCAACAACTTGCAAGCCCAAGCCTAGGGAAAGGGTGGGATATTTCAAGCCATACAAGCAGAGCGAAAGTCCCTGCAGCTTTCATGTAAAATCCTGTCAAGATCTTAAAGGTTTAAGAGCTTTTTCTAGGACCACAAATCACAAAGCTCATCCCTCGCCTTCCGAGCTGTCACCTTCATAATCTTTCTGACATGCAGAGGCCCTGGTGAAAGCATCCCTCATCCATCCTGACCCTCCCATGGTGGTGAGCACTCCCACCTGCTCTTTGATGTGCCTCCATCAAAAGAGCCAGACAACCTCTGAAAGTGAAAGAGCGATGGGGAAGGGGGGGTGGGGGAGCAGACTGAGGGATCCAGGTCAGCTGGGAGAAGCTGGATCCGCAGCGTTCAGCACTGGGAACAGTGGCTGGGAACCAGCACCCGGGAACCAGCACCCAGGAACCTGTGCTAGTCCCTCCTCTTCCCAGAGCTGAGCAAGACTATCCAGAGGGCAGGGGCAGTGATTTTGGGAGATGCTGTATCCAGCATTCTTCCAGGAATGGAGTTGCTGAGTGGGACAGGAGGGCTAGGACAGCACCTTGGAGCATTCAATGGGCATCTTCCAAGCTCCACCCAAGCCCAGCTCCCCATCCTTGTCTCCCTGTCTCCATCCCCATCCCTGTCTTCATCCCCATCTCCATCTTCATCCCCATCTCCATTCCTGTCTGCGTCAACATCCCCATCCCAGTCTCTATCCCCATCCCTGTCTCCGATCCCATATCCCTGCTCCATCTCCACCCCTGCTTCCATTCCTGTCTCCATCTCCATCCCCATTCCTGTCCCCATCCCTGTCTCTATCCCTATCCCCATCCCCATCCCGCTCTCCTCCCCGTTCCTGCCTCCATCCCCATTCCCATCCCTATCCCGCTCTCCATTCCCAATGCAGCTGATGCCAGTGGCTCTAGGGGGCAGCCGGGCCCCGGTGTGCCCAGTGGAACAAAGCCCCGGCCCCGGTCCTGGGGGTCCCGGTTCCGGGAGGGGCTCGGTCCGGGGCGGGTCCCAGCACGTCCCGGTCAGGGGGGTCCCACTCACCTCCAGCCGGCGAGGAGAGGATTCCCTTCACCCGGAGATCCAGGGAATCGAGGGACACCTCCATGTACTCCATGCTGTTCTCCTGGCCAGGGCCCTCTCTGCCTCCCAAAGATGGTTTATATGCTTCGGCACCTGGATGGAAACACACACGTATTTACACTGCTAAAAACAAGGATTAACAGTAAAACACCCAACTGGCTGCAAGCATGTGTGGGTGTGAGGGCCATGTTTAAGCCAGCAGGCTGTATACAGGCTCCTCAGAGAGGCCAAGAGTACAGATGCACATGGAATTATGGAAATGCAACATCTGGGCATGATTGACCTCTTAATTCCTCCCCTGTCTGACCAGACAGAATTCCCACTTCCACTTAGGTAGCTAACAACAAAAGAAGAAGAAATGAGACAAGTTCTGCCTCGGAAAGGCACATCTGCCTGCTGCTGTACTGCTTCAGAAGCTTAAATGGCACAAGAGGGGATGAAACTAGGGCTGAGGCATCCTCCTGCCTGCGACCTGCTGCAAAGGGCTCCAGGTACCCTCCAGCCGGGCAGAGCCAACTGGCTCGTCACAGACGTCACCAAGAGGATGCTCCAGGGGACATCCAGCTTAATGGGAGGGGAAAGCCAGAAAAGCCAAGTTCTGGCTCTCAGTGAACAAAGCTGCTGCTGGGAAGAGATTGTGTGAGGATCCCTCAGAGCCTTCATAGGAATTGTCAAGCTCTTCATATTCCCATGGCTTTGCTTTCTTTCCTGGTTCGCTTCTCCCATTCTGGCTTGGCCAAGAGACTTTCATAAGCCTGGAAGACTGGCAGCCACCTTTATTGAAGGGGCAGCAATCCAGTCTGCATCTGAAATGAAGAATTAGCTATTTGCTCTGAAATGGATCAATGGCCTCTACTTTGTCTTGAGAAAGGGGCTGCTTTGGGAGGAAGAGGAGCAAGGCAGATGACAGCTAAACCCCAGGCACAGACCAGAGGCTGAAACATGGTCCTTTAGCTTAGATGTAGCCATAAATCTGCTGACAAAAAATGGCCTGTTTGCAAAGAATTAGCAAGCACAGAATAAACCCTTTGATGGCAATGGATGTGTGAAACCTTCATAATGAAGCCGAAAGTACAGCTTCACTTCAGAGACTACCCACTTATTTTTACCCATGTCATTACCTTTCCTGATGAAGCATCCCTTCCAGTCTGCACTCCTGCTCTCCCCAACCCACAGCTCTCAGTAGACAAAGGCCACTGAAATCTTCTTCTGAGCACTGCATAACTTGGGTCAAACAAGAATGACCACCTAAACATCACCATCACCAACACCATGAGATGGGCCAGAGAGGCAGCTCATTACAAATGCTGTGGTGGAAAGATAATCTGCACATTCCATTCAGCTGGACACACATCCATACAAAAGCAACTGAGCAACATTGTAGGGTGGCTCTTCTTTTCCCTTCTGCATCTAACCATGCTTCCTGAGCTCATGGGACGTGAGTCCACATGGACATGAGTCCACCAGCTCTTTTTTAGATACTCTTAAGATAAAGGGAGCTCATGAATAAAAAGATATTGCTCCAGCATGCCAAGGATAACGCCACCTCACATGTTCTGCTGTCAGGGAGATGCAAGTTTGTGCATGGATTTATCATACAGCCCAAAAGGAATCATAGAATCATAAAATGGTTTGGGTTGGAAAGGACCTTAAGCTCAACCAGTTCCAACCCCCCTGCCATGAGCAGGGATGCTTCACCTTTTATCATGTCACCCAAGGCTCAGTCCAACCTGGCCTAGAGCACTGCCATTTACCACATCTTTTGGCAAGCTGTTCCAGTGCCTCAGCACCCTGCAGAGCAAGCTCTGCAGCCAGGCACTGCCCCATGGGCCTCAGGCCCTCACCCCTCCAGCCCGGAGGCTAATTTCTATGCAATTCAGGAACAAAACCCCAGGAGTTACCTAGCACACTGGCTTGTTTCTTTTTATTCCTCCGTCTCCTCTTGCGGGTGGGTTTCAGCCATGGACTCTCCGTCTTTCCTTTCCTCTTCAGCAGCTTCTTCCTGACGCTGGACTCGGAGCTCTGAATAACCAGAGAGGCCACGTGCATGTAAGGCATGTTGGCAGCAGCGTCCCAGCAGCCCTTCGCGCCCATGCGGAAGAGCCTTCCCGCAGCTTGTGTTGTGTGCAAAGGCCTGAAGGGCTGGGGGTTTGCAATCAAGTGGTGCTGAGATGTCTTTACAGCGCCGAAAAGGAAACACAAGCACACGTGTGGGTGTATTTCCTGTCATTTCAAGAATGCTTCACTTTCTCTTCCATGTAGGTTCTTACACCACACTCATCACAGTAGTAGCCGAGCACCTCGGCGCAGCAAGGCAAGTTAACAGGCACACGCACACTTCTAGCTTCTCCCCAGAAAAACTGTGGGGTTTTCCAACTCAAATATTCACATTGCTCCACAGTCCTGCTAGAAAATGCCAACAAAACCCCACCCTGCACCTGAAGAGCCACCTTACAGGGTTGGGATGGACCCAATGGAATTGAACGCTATGGCAGCAGATCAGCCCCTTCCCTGAGCAAGGAACAGGGCAGCATAAACTAATCATGCAGCAAATCTTCAGACATAGAATCATAGAACAATTAGGGTTGGAAAGGACCTTAAGAGCATCTAGTTCCAACCCCCCTGACATGAGCAGGGACAGGGGTTTGGTTTAAAAAAGAAATAAAGTTTTCTGGGGTGGGTTTTCAAAGTCAACATCAGAACGGGCAACCAGGCACCCAACCCTGTAAGGCAGCGTTCAACACATCATCATAAAATCCACATTCCAACGGAACCCACCAGATCCTGATGCTTATCCATCTCCCACCAAAGCCTATGAAAAACCTCCTGCTACCATTAAGAGTGGCTGGACCAGGCCCTACCTGCATGGGAAGCTGATGCTGCACCATGCCCTGTTATCACAGGGGCGGCGCTGAGCCCTCCTCTCCGGGGCAGCTCCGCACAGTGTCTACGCTGCCCCCAATAACTGTCCCCAAGTGAGGGCTCAGTTGTGCCCCGCCACGTGGCTTACACCCATTGCATCACTCTGCTTGTGGGGGAGAGGTTTGCATCTGGGCCAGTCCCTGTCTGGGGAACTAAATGATTCACCAGATGTGAGCAGAGCAAAAACCACCGTCTAGGATGTGGAGATCTGACTTGGGAGTTTGGACTTGACTGCAAGCTCAACCCTTGGTTTGAGCTAATGCTACAGACTGGCTTCAGCTATCCAAAGAGAGGATCAGGCTACACAGCTCCTGCTGCTTGGTCCTCTCTGGCTCCTGTAGTGTCAGAGCACAGGGCACAAGACCCTACAGAGCTTTGATTCACTTGGTATAGTCATTTCTACCTTCAGCTCAAACATGAAGAAAATGAAGCCAAGAATTTTTTCAAGCTGACTGAAGAGTTGGGGTGCCTTAAATGCTGGCTCCTCAACTTGAGGTGCTGTGGAAAGGGAGCACATTTTAAGTAAAGGGGAGGGTGGGGGACAGATACAATCAAAGAGCAACAATTTAAATTTAAAAATTAAAAATCAGGTTCTCTTCACCTGCCGTCTAAAAATATAAAGTAAAAATCAGCAGCAGCTAGTGAAAGTCTTGCCCTAGCACGAGACAGACAGCCTCATAGGGAGAGAGAGGGTCTGTCTCTCTGTGTGCTGTTTGTACATCTCCCTAATAAGATCTGCTCATCCAGTACCCTGAGGTGGCATGTCAGACCAATGTGAATTTAGGCTCTGGGCTGGTCCAATAGGTTTGTGAACAAGCCCATCTGAGCTCCACACAGAGCTGCAGGTTGTTGAGGAACCACTGCTGGCTCCTACCGCATGCCAAGTCCGTACCTGAAGACTTGAAGCACCCTCAAACGTTTCTACTAACATTCAAATGACTAAAAGCACTGAACACCTTGTTGAAAACAACAAAAAAAGCCCATTAATTAGCATCAGGAAGCAATGAATTGTATCACAGATGAGGGTTAAAGCACCTTGAGGAAAACATTACTGCATGGGGGTGGTTTCAGAGAGAGTTTTGTCAGAGACATGAAACCCCACAGATCTGTGCTCTCACTCCTTTTGGCAGCAAAGGGGAAATTATCAACAGGACAAAGGTTGAAAGACACAACTAGCAGCCAGGCTTACCAAGTCAGACTCATCTCCATCTTCCTCCTCCTCCAGAGACTCTACAGACTCTTGTTCCTCCTCAGACTCGCCATCATCAATCTGCAACCACCATTTGCCCAAGAACAGAAAGAGTCAGTCAGGTCAGGGCTCTCAAAGCCAGGTTGGACAGAGGGGCTTGGAGCAACCTGCTCTAGTGGAAGGTGTCCCTGCCCATGGCAGGGGGTTGGAGCTGGAGGACCTTTAAGGCCCCTCCCAGCACAAATCATTTGAGCATTCTATGATCCCCACACTATCCTGCTGGGCACCCCATCCTGCAGAGCACCCCCCACCTGCAGCACCCAGCCCCTGCCTGGATGTGAACTAACAGAACTTCCTTGCCAGGATGAGAACTCCAAGGCTGTTAAATGCATGTCATGGTACATCCACAAGGATGGTACAGGGGAAAAAAAAAAATTGACTCCAGAAGAAAGTTTTTCAACCAAATCTTAACATCCTTAATTATCCAAACTCAGCCTCATGTCTACATTGTGTGTCGTTATTTGGGAAAAAATGAACGAAATCAATTTTAGTGCTTTAGCAGCCTGTTACAAGATGAGGAATCACAGAATGGTTTGTGTTGGAAGGGACCTTAATGCTCCTCCAGTCCCAACCCCTGCCACGGGCAGGGACACCTTCCACTAGAGCAGGTTGCTCCAAGCTCCTGTGTCCAACCTGGCCTTGAACACTGCCAGGGATGGGGCAGCCACAGCTTCTCTGGGCACCCTGTGCCAGCGCCTCAGCACCCTCACAGGGAAGAGCTTCTGCCTCAGAGCTCATCTCAATCTCCCCTCTGGCAGGTTAAAGCCATTCCCCTTGGCCTGTCCCTGCAAGCCCTTGTCAAAAGCCCCTCTCCAGCTTTCTTGGCCTCTAAAGAGGCACTGGAAGGGAACACGTCTCTTACTGGTTCAGTGAACTCCATAACTAAATGTGGTGGGGTCCTGCATCTATAGTGGACCACAGACTTATGCAGCAAGGCTGAAACTGGGGGTAGGTGGGGAGATTCTCAAGGGTGCAAGGGAGAGCAGGAAATGCTTCTCCAAAGGCCTGGCTACCACTGCTGTGCTTTCTCTCTTCTTGCAGGCTAAGAAAACCTATAACTACCTCAACTCCTGCCATTCCCAACCCACCTGCAGAGTCCTACCCCACTCCTTCAAGTCCTGCACAGGGCATGTGAATACCTTTCTGGCATTGTCTGCATCACATACGCTGTCTTTAGAGGTCCTGTTATCATCTGCAGGAAACACAGCTGCCTGTTCTGCTCCATGATCATCGTCCTCTTCCAACTCATCAGAGTCTTCCTCTTCAGAGTCTACATCTAGGCTTTCCCCATTCACATGAGGGCTGGCATCACCCAGGTCCTTTTCACTCTGAAAGTTGTCCAAGCACATGAGCCACAAAGACAACATCAATTCAGAGGACAGAGCAGCCAAATCCATCCTAGACCTCCTCTGTGCTAGAAGCCTTCAAGCTACCAGGGGAAAGCTAGCTCTATGTCCCTCCAGAGCTCTTCTAAACTGCTAGCAAAGCCAGCCTGAAAGCCTGCCATGTGTCACCTAACCCTGTAGATCCAGGAACCAAGGAACCATGAAGAGTCAGTCCAGACTCATGTGGTTGTAACAAGACTTTGAGGGAAGGAGAGCTGCTGGGCAGGAGCCTTCAGATAGACCCCTGCAGTCCATTGCAAACATGGAAGGGCAGCTCTACCAAGGGTGCAAGAAGGTTTCTAGGGAATAGAAAGGGAAGTTAAATCACAGAGGGATTTTCACTCCACTCCATGAAAGCCTAGCACTGTTCTTCCTGAATTCAAAGACCAAAACCTCAGGGCATGGGCTGCAGCAAAAGCAGAATCTGACCAGGAGTGAGTCCCTGCCTGAACCTTTTTAAGCAACCAGTTGTTTTGTTGTACAGCCTCAAGCAGTAAGACTAGACAGTTATGGGCAGGACGCTGTTGCCAGAGAGAAGATGTAGACTCAGAATGGAAGATGCTGACCACAACAAGCCAGCACATCCCTGAGCCTACACAGGGGTTGGTGTGCTGGGACAAGGGATGTGTATGGTGACAACAAACCATGCCCAGTGGGCTCAGCACTCCCCTTACCTTGACACCTGCAGAGGAATGAGTTATGCTCTTAAACATCTCAATCATTGTTCTCTGTTTTAACACTTTGGTCTTTTTCTTGGGAACCAGGCTATAGGTTCCCATTCTCCGTTTTTTCTTCCGAGATACTGCAGCAGCTGGAAAAGAGAAGCAAAAGAAGCCCAAAGTTTGCTCAGAAATGAGAAGAAGAAGGGATAGAGAGTAGAGGCTGTACTGGGGAGAAATCACATTTCAGGGCAAGAGGATTCCCAGTCCAACTGATTTATTTACAAATCAACCAAAAGATGACACGCACATATGTGCAAACGCACAAAGAGCTTTCTGCCAGTGCTGCAAAGCCACCCAAATTCTGAGTGTCCTCCCCACACTCCTCCTGGCCCCTACATCACACCATACACAATATCAAATCCTTAACTTAGCCTGCATTTGGCAGTACTGCTGATGCTGTAGGAGGCTGAATAGAATCCAACTTGCTCAAATAGATACGGCAAGACTAATAATACCAACTTACAATGAAAACAATCGTGTAATAACTGAGAAACACACAGGAAAAAGGTATCTTAAGTAAAGAGCTTTTGTCATTTAACCTCCTTTAACACCTACTACGGAAGTTTTTTTGATCCCTTTCACTCCTTTGATTGGGTCTTAATTTGTTAAGCCTCCCTCCTGGCCTTCTAATCAAATCAGTCATCACACCTCACTGCCTGGTGCTGTCTTCGGTGAATACACATCAGAAGGATGCTTCGTGCAGCCTCTTTAAAGAACAGCATATAGCAGGGAACAGCCAGCTTCAGCACCCCAGTTACGGTCTGCAGTTGTACAGCTTGTTCCTTGAGAGCATTTCTTCATCTTCCACTAAGATGGAATTTCACCAAAAAAACCTTTTGGAATTTAACCAAGAATCCCCTTCCTTGACCTGCTGCTCACGCTGCTGGGAATGCAGCCCAGGACATGGTTGGTTGTAGTTCACGGTAAGCAGTTGTTGCAGTGATATATGAAGCCCTCAAGAACTGATAGAACATCTGGAATATCACACAGCAAGATCGGATGAAAGTGGCTCCTCTAACAGAAACTCTTTGCAGGGGAGTGA